ACTAAAGAATACACTAGAAAAAATTGTAATTATTTATTTAAAGAATTAGAGAGAACTGTTCCTCTGGCATTGAACTTGGTTTCAATTTGTAAAATTGGAAAGTTTGCTAGAAGAAGTTATAGATTTATGAATACTTATAGATTAGGGATCTCAGGAAAAGCTTTAATATTTGTAGCAAAAAACTCAGAAAATTGCCAGAATTTATGTTAATGGATGCTTATATGCGTCACGTGACAAAAGTTGATCTATATTAGTTTTCTGATTGGTCAAATTAGTTTAATTAGTAATAAAATTACTTAATTTTAAACCTTCATAACTTTTTATTTTACTAATTAACTTTAAAAAATTTATCCAAAGATTACAAAAATAGAGAGATTTTTATGGACCAACAAATATTTTCAAAGTTATCAGGGTTTAAAGATTTGCAATTTTTTTTGATGTCTTTAGATGCAGTGTACAATAGAGAAATAATTTGCTGTCTAATTTTAGAATTATATAATGAATATATTATCTTTTAAAGATTTAAGATTTGGTAAAAAAGAATTCATATACATAATATTATATTGATTAATAAATAAATAAATAATCATCATAAATGTAACAATATCTTAATGACTTTCTGGAAAGCTGTAGCACTTAATTGGTAATTTAATTTCAATGTGTTACTATTATGCAAAGTAGTGTTCTATGTTGCAACCAAAAAAGGAAACAAAATGAACATAAAGGTGTTTGCAATCATTTTATATGATGCAAAGATGGTAGCAACCATCATCAAAAGTTGCAGCCAGCATCCTTAATGCAAAGTCAATTTTGTACCACAACACATTATTCAAGATAAAAAAAATGACATGAACAAGAAAAACCATTACATTCAAAGAACAAAATATTGAAAAGACAAAAAATTAATGAATATTCACAATATTTATTTTCATTAACAGCAATTTAATAAAGGTGATTTTGTCTTTAAATAATTATATATTTTAGTTGAAAATAAATTTAACTTTTTAATTCTTTCCTTGAATGTAATGATCACTATTGAATATATATGTCTGTTACAACATTTTTAATTTGCAAAAGATTAATAAATTGCATCAAAGCAATGCAGAAATGAATTTTTTAAGGGGCCTGATTTTTCAAAATAATAATGTGTGTCTATCCCAAATCTCTAGGCTTTGTATAAAATAAATAAACAAGGTATTACTATTTAATACATTAATTAAAAGAAATCCTATCAGTTTTCAACTTTTTAAATCTTTCATCATCAATTTTAAGCCTTTCCTTTAAATCATCTAGGTCATTGAAGGTGCATTCTTTGCGTTTAAGACATATTTTAATCCTCTCATTCTCATTGAAGCCAAGAATCACAAGTGACTCAATAGGTGCATTATTGAGATATATTTTTTCATTTGCTATGTAAATGTGAAAGAACATTAACAGACATTATGATCAAAAAGGGAATTCCAAATTACAAACATACCTGATGCAAATTGTGCCCGACTTGTATAAGTATATCCATAAAACTTTTGAAAATTTTCCACAGACACCAAAGCACTATTTGGTTTATCATCTATAGACAGGTTTTTCTTATCTGCATTTGTTAAGAATAATAAAGCCCAATCTTTCTTCTCAACATTCATAGCTTTGGTAACCTTATTATCATATAAGAAAAAGATTTGTTAACCAACAATTTAACAATACATGCACACTTAATATGTGAAGTAGTGTTGTTACCTTTTCATGTTCATTATTGAACAAGCCTTGGTTGATGACAACATTAGAAATGGTGGTTGATTTTGATTGTTGAGCTATGCAAATTTCACCCACAGGCTCAGAGCTTTTATTAAGAAACCCAAAGGCATCAAAGGGAGCCCCAGATGCATTAAGAAATACACAACCAATATAACTCCTGATATTATCATTCTTCAATAAATCAAGGTTGATATAACCATTTCTTACTTCCATTATATCTACATATTTCACTTGATTATTCTCATAAGTTTTAGTGACTAAATTATATTAGAATGGGATTTGAGTTTGATGTGATTTTTTATGTTAGAAAAAATCTGCAAAACATAATACCTGGGTATTGATGTAGTAATTTATACAATTTGATATCTTCTTGAGGTAAGTCAACTTCAACATCTGGAAAACTAAGAGAGAAATCTGCACCCTTACAAAGGGTCTTCAAATTAATCTTCTCATATCCCATTAAACGAAAGAGACTGAGGCGTAATGCCCAAAATTTGACATTAAAACCTTCAAAATCCTGCCAATACATTGGCTCATCATATTTTAACATGGATTTCCAATACATCATCCCAGGGTCTTTGGAGTTTTCAACAATTGCACATACCCACACATATGGTAACCGAATAAGGCATTCCTCAGTTTGTTCCATTGGAACCAGGTTCACAATTCCCATTGAACTAAGCTCCTGATATGTCATTGATCTTTCATTGAAATCAACCACATCATTTTTTTGAACCAGAAAACCCAATATGGCCTTTGCGAGAGGTATTGTAAACCAATGTGAGTTTAGATGAAGACGATATTTCCTTACAATCCTGCATTTGACATCTTCCATGATTTTCTCAATATTCACATTATGAGCAGCTGTCTCCTCTTCTGTCATCATTTCTGATTCTAATTTTTCTGAAAAATACATGTAGTAATATTCCAATGTTTTCACATGTCCACCAATATCACTAATACTTATTCGAAAAT